TTTTGAAGCTGACCTAATCAGTCCCACCCTTTCCATCATTGAGGGTGTACTGTGTAAGCAAGAGAGATTGCCTTTCTCCGCAGGATGTAGACAAAGAACGTAGGCTTGCCTGTTGGAAATTGGTATGCATGTATCTGTGCGGGAGGAGGATTGTTTAGGTCAGCTTAAAGGGGCCAAAAGGAAAGTGCACTGTGTTTTAAAGGAGAACTATGGGGTCAGTGCTTTTCCCCATAGTTATCCCAAGGGTCACGGGAGGACAAAAACTAGCGTCCTCCCGTGACCCAAAGCTCAGTATACCGCAAGCTACAGCTCGCGGTATACTGAGACTGCCGCAGAGGGGACAGGATTGAGAAGTGAGCAAGTGACGGTATGTGTTCGCTCACTTCCTTCGTTGTAACACGTCGGCTCGAACTATGAGGCTGAGTGATTTTTACTCACCTCATAGTTCTCCTTTAAAGTGGACTTATGCTTTTAAAACCTAGTGACTCGTCAGCGAATTAGTTAAACTTAAGTTTACAGTTAAGCCAGACCAGGTCCCATTTACTGCTAATGTAATATCATTTTTTTTTTTTTTTGCCCTTCACCTCAGGCCGCGCCGAACAGATTGGAGCAGTCAATAATGCATCTAATCCTCCTTTGGCGCAGATCATATGCGTGGCTGACAGCTCTGCTCTTCATGGTCTGGAAGGAAAGGCTTTGAAGCGGACCCTTACCCAGATCTTTAAAATAACAAACACCATGACAATCTTCAAACACATACTTCTAGATAATTGCTGGATTTTTATTTTTTGCATACCTTATTTCTATTTCAGTCTTCTGACACTGGCCATTTTAATAAAGGACAGATTACCATTTCTTTATTTCCTGGAACTCTGGCACATGTGACTAGGACATGTGACCATGCCCATCTGAGGGGAGGGAAATGCCTTTCCCTGAGATTTCCCAGCAATGCTCTGCTGATGTTACATTCCCAAGATGCAACACTTTGGAAAACACAACATTTGTGCCATAACTGGACCAGGAAGTAGATAAACTATATTTGTAAGTAAATGACCTCTGTGTAGCTTAGAAATGTAAGATGATTTTAAGAGCAGAGCTGCATGCTGATGGGATTTTTAGTGAAAGGAGGTAAAGGCCCACTTTAAAGAGCTAAAGCAGCATTATAAGGACATGTGACATATTCTGGCTTATCTCCAACACCTACCTTGCTGTGCTGAAGTGAAAAACAGGTGACCCAAAAATAGAGACCTAAACAAAGTTAATTCTTCCTTTTTAGAGCTTTTTCTCTTAATGAACTGCTGGTGGTGTGCCCTGTTCTTTTGGACGTGGGAAAACTAGCTGGGTTTACAACCACTTTTATCACTTCCAGGTCTTGTCCCTCCTCCAGCCTGGAGATTTACTGTGCAAGAAAAAGCTAGACTCATAAGTTGATCTCTCACTCAGCTCTCTCCTCCTATCAGTATGTCTTGTGTTGGCACATGGATACTGTTAGAACTACCTAGAACCTTTCCTCTCTCGTTTTCCCGTTGTTACTTGTCTAGTTACAATCTACATCTGTTTAAAACGGGCTGACAACGTTCAGTTTCTAACTTTACCTTTTGCCGGTTTTATGACCTCCTCCTGTAATCCATAGCGATGTTATGTAAACATTGGTGAATGATGTTTTCACTATTTCATTTCATTGTGTTTCTTCTCCATGATGTGTACCGCTATTCAACTTGTTTTTGACTTTGTGACTGTATCTTTATCCTTGAAGAATTTACAAAAATAAAGAACTACCTAGAACCTTGTACTGCATCTTTCTTTCCCAGTTTGAGCCCTACTTTTACATGCACTGCAAAAGACCAATGTTGGGATACATTCAGGCACTTAATCTGCTTGCATTTAATGATTTATCAGTGAATGCAGGGCTGTAGTAATGTCTTTTTTTTAAAATATGTATTTTTAGTGGGACATTTGTTAAAAAAAGAAACTGTTTAACTTGTAAGGTGTATTAAACTGATCCCTTTACACAAGGTAGTCTACGCCTAACCATTACTTGATACATTCTGCAGTTTCAATAAGTTCTGCATTATTTTTTTCTTTTACATGAAGTAGCTTGGCTGAAATGGCAGGTTGTGTGCATCTATGAATATGATTACTGTAGTCCAAAAAAACATTCATCCTTATTTTTTTTTTGCAGCGTCTTGTCTCTGTGCCAGCATAGTTTTATGTGCAGGTTGTGCCTTCCCTGGTCTCTTTATGCATGTCTAACCTTGGTTTTCTCAGCTCACACCTTGTAAAGAAACTAATGAGCACAGTGTATCCTGCTGACCCACATCCCAACCCTGCAGATTTACATTTTGGCTCTGAATTCCTCTCTCAGGAACTTCCTTCTTACTGACCCATATCTTGTGTTGTGTTGCAGGTTTGATGAGCTGGTGAAAAGGTTCAAAGTCGATTATCATGCTGGTGGTTCCACTCAAAACTCCGTAAAAGTGGCTCAGGTTAGTTGTGCAGTGACCATGGCCTTGCATTTCTATTAATGTAGATGTTAAAAACAACTGGACGTTTTTAGATTTAAAAAAAAAACAAAAAAAACTTGCCAAAATTAATTTTTTTACCCTATTGTGAAATCTGCCTTTTTCAAAATTCTTTTTTTAACCTGTGTGAACTGGACGTGACAAGTTGTATTGTTAAAATGCAGCATAAAAATATGGTCAAGTATTTCCAGATGAATTGAGATACGGAAGCGCTCAAATTTTTGCATTAGGAAGATAGTTCATCAGGAAAATTATAAGTTCATCTTGTCGCAAACTCTGTGCAGCAGTGGCCAATTGTGTTTCACAGGGAAATAAAATACCTCACCCTTGTAAATGTAGACTTATTTACTATACGTACCTCTACTTCATTATTTTGTTCCCAATACAACACTTTACCGCTCTAACTGCCCTTTCTTATACTGATCAATAACACATTTCCACCTTCTGCAACTGATGTCTCTTTTAACTTTGCCTAATCTTAAGGGTAGACATGGCCCATTATCAAATCTTTACATTGACCTCAAAAGGGAAAAATATAGATAGATGGATAGATTTTTTTTTTTTTTTTTTATTGCCCCCCTTTTGGTTTTGAATCCATAAAATCAATATTTAATTTCTAATGTTAAAAAGGAAAGTTATAATAAGCAATAATTTTGTTTGCGAAAGAGATGCAGATGTCTTCCTCGTATTGTAAAGTGCTGCCCAAACTGTTGGTGCTATATACATCCTGTATAATAATAATGCATTGATCTCAAACTTCAGTAGTAATGCCCCTTTGCAGATTTTATAGTGTTTTTTTTGTTTTTGTTTTATTTTTTATTTTTTTGGTCTTTTCTTCAAAAAGACAACTGCCCCTTTGTATTAAAAAAAAAAAAAGTGTGTGTGTGTAGGGAGTCTAGACCAGTTGTTGAATCAGCCCTACATATGCTATACCTTTTTTATTACATAAAGATTTAGCTGTGGTCTGCTCAACTTGATCTTCCTTGGTGGCTACTTACATCATTGCTAACACCCAGTGACTTATTATCCTCTGCTGTACATGTCCCAGCATTCAGTGCACTTTAGGAAACCTGGCTCCCGCCCCTTCCCCCTACAGCTGTTAGCTGATTGGACATGCTGGTAGGTTTCGCAGCGTTCACACACTCGCCATTCTACCTCTATCACTGAATGAAAGCGCAATGCAGCCGCCTCCTGATTGAATGCCCAGTAAGTAAGGAAGATTTTGCTGATGGAGTTTGCACCAATCAGCTCCCTCTCTGCTCCTCCCGCCCACCTGTTAACCAGTGAATGGGTTGGTTGAGTTTCCTCAGGTGCATTGAATGCTGAGACTTGTAAAGCTCAGGTTAGTACTTTCTGTGCATTCATTCCTTTTAAAATGGAAAAAATTGCAGAAAATTCAAAAATGGCTTGGCCAGCTGATTTGAAAAATGTTCCGGAGGGCTTGGCAGCGAAAGGGTTAATGGTCATTTACCTTCAGACTTAAACATCTGCCAGTCAAGTGGTGCTGAGGGCCAAGGTTCAGCCTTGCCTTCAGTCTGAAAGGTCCTTTTTATAATGGTTCCTCCCCAGAGTAGAAATTGCTTACTCTGCTTTTTCATCTTCTCACAATGTGCATTAGAAGTTGCAGCAAGTCAGATAGAGGCCACCTCATTTCTTGACCAGAGGATATCCAGCATCATCTACCTCTTTTCTCCCCAGATTTTACTCTTCTCGGCCCACGTCTTTCATTTTTTTGTGTTTTTTAAATTTCTTTCAATCATGGAAGCTCAGCATCACATGTTGCAGTTACGTAGGGTGGGTTTCATGGAAATGCAGTCTGCCTATGAACGCCCACTACTCCTGACGTCACCAATCAAGGAGTTTTAATATCTGCATAACTGCTGCAAAGAGACAGCCCAATGTGTGAATCAGGGCTCTTGAGAGGAGTATTGAGGCAGGGTGCTGTGATGTTTTCAGAAAGACATGTACAGCCCCCTGCTGGCTCCTCACACCAGCCATGATCTGCCTGTGTTGCATATAGAAGCACAGACACCCACTGATGACATCACTGGTTATATGAGGTATGTAATCGAAAGATTTTTATTACATGTTGATGAGGGGTTGAAGGAGCAGCCATGGAAAGCAAAATATAAGCAGAATAAACTTCAGATTTAAGTGTGTCAGCCAGCTTTCAAGCCATTACTTTGCTGTTGCCTGCTTGGCTTTTTTTCCCCTTGATGGAATAAATGGGAGCAAAGTTTTAGAAGTTTAATTGCTTAATTCATAATGTTCATCAGGGAGAGATTCCTTCCATTTATAAAAGCATATTTGGCAGTCACATGTGCGATTTACTCTTTTCTGCCGTTGGGAATGATGCCTCGTGTTTTACACAGTTTCATAGTCCGGTCATGTGCCAATTACTGCAGTCACTGGACAAAGTCTTTGTGCACATGTGCCAGGCTTACATTAGTTTTCTTGCAACAGTTTCCTGCTCCGGAATTGATCAGAACTGGAGCAGTTGCCCATGGCAACCAATCAGCGTCTCTCTTCAGTGTGCTCAGGTAAGAGTTGAAAATGAGAGAGAGATGCTGATTGGTTGCAGTGCAAATCTGCTCCAGATTGTGTCTGCTCCACTTTTGATAGACCCCCCCCAATGTGCCTTTGTGACTACATGTGTCAGAGCTCAGACTTTGGAGGCCCCAGTTGACATATTGAGTGTGCCAGGTTCTTGGCAATCAGCGGGAGCACAGGAATACTTTTCTGAGGTAAAATAACGTTCTGGAACACATGCGTTTTTGTGAAGGTCTGAAAATAATGTTGCTGTTTGGGTTTGAAATAACAGAGGAATAAATCAGGTCCAGACATTCTTTTCAGATTTCTGTGCCGGATATGTATAACCAGAAAGCTGTATTAGTTGAATATGTGGTTTCTTAAGTAACTTTGAATTTGAGTGAATGAACACAGTTCCAGCCCCCCCACCCCTCTCCATGAACCCCAGCTTTCTCATGCACTTATAGTGCCAATATATATGTAATGCGATGACTGTTTATAAATCAGAGCAGTCACAGCTACACAGTGCCCGAGAGCGCTGACAGTACATTTTAGAGTCTGGAATTCCGATCCGTTTAATTCATGTCTATCCTGTATGTTGCTGTTGGAATTTAAGGTCTATTTTAGTTTTGTTTCACCCCTCCTTTCCCCCCCCTGCACCCCCCTTCATCACTCACACATCAGCTCTCCTAGAAAGCATTTAGATCTGGGAACGCTGCCATTTTGGATCAACTGAGACATGGCCAGGAGTGTCTACGTTCATGGGAAAAGTACTACAATTTAGGGTTCTAAGGATTTCCTTTTGGTTCATCTACATGAGGGCTCTGCGCCCAGCTAAACTTGCCATAACAAAGTTGGTCTTTGTTTCCCAATTCTGTAACATTTTTTGTAGAAAAAAAACAAAACACACAGGAGTTAAAACCACTTAACTCCTTCATATGTTATGGTATACCCAAGCTACAGTGCGCTGGCTCTTAGCCTTTTCTGTATGTGTATCAGGGTTCATGTTAGGTCTCCCTGGGACTGCTGATCTCTTTGGGCTCAGGCTGGCATTGAGAACATTTTGCATGTACTTGCTCTAGTGGTACTGCAAGGTATCATCTCTCATTTACCTGGCTTTCAAGGTGATGTATCCAAATACAATACTTATAAGTTGTTTTCCACTCATCCTCACAGTTCTAGCCGACCTGTGACAATGAAACTGTCACAAGTCGGCTCGGTAGATCGAGAAGTGAGCAAACTCATACCGGCGTTCACTCCTCGATCCTGTCACAGCTCCCTGCCGTGACAGTGGAGGGGCTGGATTCCGCCCACTCCGATCCTCCAGCGCTGACTGGTGGAACGGACGGGGGAGGGGGCAGGTACAGCTGGCTCTGCCTCTCGATAGGCAGAGTCAGCTGTCACTCATGCAGCTGGGCGGATCCAGACATAATTGTCGGGATCCGCTTCAGCTGCGGCGTCTCAGTAAATTGCGAGCTTAGGGTAACGGGAGGACGCTAGTTTGTGTCCTCCCGTTACCCTAAGGAGAACTATGGGGGAAAGCACTGACCCCATAGTTCTCATTTAAGCTAATTGATCTCCTCTTTGGAGTGTTTTTTGATTGCAGCTAAGAGAAAAGATGGTGCCCCTCTCTGTGGATGTTTTTTTTTCTTACCAATTCCTCTGTTTTATGTTGGACAACTTTATCTGTTTTAAGAGGCCTAAGAATGATCAGCATAATTAACCTGCTGCTGTCATATATAAGCTTTCTCAAAATAATTCTTCTTTTACTAATGGCAGTACAGCTCGTGTACCTTGGAAACAATAAGTACTATCCTTGTTGCACTCCTTACCGATAGTCCCTTGTAGTGGGAGGTGCTCGCGGTGACTGCGGATGGTGCCGCGAATGTCGGCAAAATGATAGAAATGTCACCAGCACACAAGTCCTTTTAGGATAGCAAAAGCTTCATTTATTGAAGTTTTTTTTTTGTCATGACCCAACAAGCGCACAGGGTCCCTTCATCAGGCATTTCTATAATTTTGCTACTTTGGAAACAAGTGAAAGCTGCCAAACAGAATTTGGAGGAAGCTTTTCTGGGTTTACCCAATGGAGCCTTTTCCTAAATTAACAAATGTGTTTGTACAGTGATACGTGCTATACAAATCAAATGCTCAAGCAAATAACATTAAAGGAGAGCTATGGGGTTGGGGCTTTTTCCCATAGTTCTCTAAAGGGTAACGGGAGGACACAAACTAGCGTCCTCCCGTCACCCAAAGCTCAGTATACTGCGAGCTACAGCCTGTGCACAGGGAGGGGCTATGGAGATTAGGAGGAGAGAGGAAATGAAATCAGAAATAAAGTAGGCAGGGCTAACACCACGCATTTACTAGGGCTGCAACAACTAATCGACATAATCGATTATAATCAATTATTGAAAAAGTTGTCAACTTTTTCA